CACTAAGCTGTTTCCAGGCTCCCCCCTTTCTGGCCAGCACCGCTCCCTTCCTGGCCGGTCCTCCCCGCCCCCCCTATGAAGTGTATCCGTTTTTTTTTTAAATGACTACCTGGTAACCCCTAGCAATGATCTAGGGTCTTGGAGGGTTTTTTTGCTTTTGGCGCAACAACTCCCCTCTCCCCCCTTTTTCTTCCCCTTCAACAAAAATTTTTCCTGGTGTTTTTTTGGGGGTGAGGGGGTGGGGAAGGGGATGTTCTGTATTTTTGTTTCAGCCATCTGGCAACCCTAGGTATAAAAGAACCCACTACAGACATTTTAGGTTCCACTTTGCCTCTCCAAGCTTATTACTGGAATAAACATTTGAAACAAACTTAGTTGCTCCTAAGAATAAAGTAAGTATGGAGCTACATGAACTAAATAATCCTAGACTGAAGATAAAATATACATATATCTTCAGGATGAGTGGAACATGTTTATTATAGTTTGTAATTTTAATTACTTTTGAGGAAAAAAAACAGTTCAATACCTTGGCATGATGCAAATCCACTCCATACATGGAAAGCCTCTTGGCATTTTCTAAGAAATGAGAATCTGCCTGTGCTGGAGTCAAGCCCCTAGAGTCGTTAAAAGATTCAGTTTACTTCAGTTTACTGGTAAATATAAATATCAAGATAATAAAATCTACTGAAAATAGCTGCATTTAGGGTATATTAAATATCTCAGATGAGTGGAGCCTAAATCATGAGTGCTTTTGCACGTATCTGTATTTCTCTCCTCAACACTGTATATATGTATATTCTTATTCATAGTATATTATATTCATTTAGTAGCATGTGCAATCTTTAGTGCTGTAAAACAGTTTAATTATAACCTACCCAAAACACCCCCAGCCCCAAACATTTTTTCCACTTCAAAGACCTGACTTTCACTTTTCCCTCAAACACAATCGAAGATCTCTTCCATAATTCAGTATAACTCAATCAGTATTTTTTTTATTAAATTATGAGATTGAAAAATCACTTTGGTTCATATTAACTTATCTGCTTAGTTTTCACAGTCCTCTCTGTGACACTGGAGTACATGTTCTAACTTCCTGACAGAAGCATGATTTTCAATTATAAAGATCTTAAAAAAAATACATACCAGTCTCCTAAAACATCCACTAACTTACCAGGAAAAGAGAAAGCCATAAACATGGATCTTAGTGCTCTAGGGATTCTACACAATTTCTGGAATATTCCATATTCTACTCCTTAATTTAAAAATGTTGATCCTTTTCAGTTGCCAGAACAGATCCAGAAACATTGAAAATGCTTTGCTTCCTTGATAAGCCACCCTTATAGGTCCAGGTCAAACAGTACCCACCACCAAAGTTAGGAATTTACTCTTCCCCACATTTTCTCAAATGTCCCACACAGAAAAGTTAACCTTTTCAGACTTAGACTGCACACTTTGTTATTAACTGCACAGTACTTAGAGAGCAATATATACTCAAATTGTGGCCCCATTGAAGAAAATGTGGGTGTTTGCTCTTAATATAATTCAGGATATCATTCATTGCTATTTGTATTGTGGTAAGACCTACTCATGGATCAGGAAACCAATTACATTAGATGATGTACAAACAGAACAAAAAGATTCCTCCTGCCTCCCAGAAGCTCATAGTCTACCTTCATAACATAACATTTATCTAACAAACAAACAAAAAAACCTTTCTTCCATCAGTGTGAAGGAACAAGAATAATTTTCTATTGTTAAAATTAAAAGTGACTATGGTTTATTTAAGGTGAAAAACAACACTATAAAGAATGTAAAATTCAGGACATTGTGCTCTGACAACACAAAGAAATATATGATCTATTTTGCTGACTGAAAGCAATTGGCAATGCACTTACATCTTTCGTTTAATGAGACTTTGGGATCTTAATTCAATTTGTACACAACTGATAAAAGGGCTCAATCAGATTTCAATGTGTTTTCAATAAAACAAAGGCAGCTAGAAACTGAATAATTGTGGCTCTTAAATTAAATCAATTTCAGATTCTCCTTGTTTTCTTCATATTATTCAAAACATCTCTGAATGAAGCAAATTCAGACAACTGGTCTTTCAAAGCAAATAAAAAAGCCTATATTGTGAAATATAGACTCAATAACTGAACTCATAAGAAGTTTTGCTAAGGCCAGCTGATCACTTACTGTATTTTCAGTCTAAGTACAAATTCTTCAAATCGGAAAAGAAAAACTTTTCCAGATGAAATGTTTATTGCTATGTTTACTGGCTAATACAAGAAGCCAACCATAAATTACTTTTTTGATGGAAAGCCTAGTAATAAGAGGCTTTAATAAACAGAAGAAAAAAAGATGGAAAGTCAACCTAAAGACAAATTTCATGTAAATGCATATAACAAAAATATAGCACAACTGATCTGATATAGGACTTTGAAAACACTTAGCACTATTATGAATCTTATACAATTTTAAACATATTTTAAGATCAAGATAAATGACAGGTATGATTAAAACAATATCAACATATTTTACTCCCCCCAGATATGACACACCTGTGTGTTTTGTGCAGCTCTACTACTTTCTCCTCCATCTCTTTTGTTTGATTGGGTGCAAATTGGAATTCGCTGATGTAATCATTGTTGTTCTCCTCTGGATCATAGTCACCTAACTCAGCCTGCAGAGTATATGAACCAAGGAGGGCATGAGTCACAAAAGAACATGGCAGTCGTCCAGAAGCAATATCCTGACGAAGCTGTAGGCACAGGAAATATCTGCAAAAAATGGGGGGGGGGGGAGGTTACTTAGGGTAGACAAATATTCCTGCAGGATATTTGTGAGGGCACATGCAGAAAGTTGAGTAAAATTTGTCCAAACACAGTTCCAATAATAGGCTGTTTATTACAAAGAGACAAAAGGAAAGGCTACTCACCTTATACAGTAACTGGATATCTCTGAGAGGAGTGTCCCTGTAGGTGCTCCACTTTAGGTAGTAGTGCATTCCTGTGCTGTTGATCTGAAATTTATAGCAACAGCATCTGCACGGGTTGTGTGTACATGCAAAATAGGTGTTTTGTAATGCTGGTGGTTCCACGTGTAGTGTGTGCATGACCTGAGCCTCCAGTTCCTTTTTACTGCAGAGCTCCTATTGTGAACTCTGAAGTAGAGGGGAAGTGGGTTGATAGGGGAGCACACTCTCAAAGAACTCCAGTTACTGCACCTGATGAGTAATCTCTCCTTCAAGCATTGTCCAAATGGGCGCTTCATTTCAGGTGACTGTAGACACATGCCATACCATGAGCCGGGGAGGACTTCGGGTTCATCTGAGTCACGGAGGTAAGTACTGTAAGTTCCACTATGGTGTCAGCCCTGGAGTCCTGCATAATTGCATAGTGCTTAGCAAATGTGCAGACAGAGGCCCAAGTGGCCACGTTACAGATCTGCAGTTACTGACGTTGAAATGGATCAAGTTGAAGGTGCTCTAACATGCTCTGATGATTTGGTATTCCCAATATGACAGCATGTTTGAATGCATGTGGAAATCCACTTAGACAATCTCTGACTGGATATAGCATCTCCTTTTGAGTGTTCAGTAGTAGAGATAAAAAGTCTAGGGGATTTCCATAAATGTCTGGGGATTTTTCCCCAACGAAGAATGCTAGCACCTGTCTAACATCTATAGTGTGTAGGGTGGCTTCAGTACCTTGAGGATTAAGGTAGAATGTTGAGATATGAACAAGTTGGTTCATGTGGAATGCTGAGTTTACTTTCTGTGTGAATTGAAGATATGGAAATAATATGACCATATCCTTGAAAAATGATGGTGTATGGAAGGTCTCTCATGAGCACCCCATCTTGCTTACCTTGCGGAGGCAAGGGTGACCAGAAAGGCTACTTTCCTAAGTAAAATACAGGTGGCTAATGGTTCAAATGGTGGTCTGATAAGGCAGAAGTGATCCCATCAGTTGAAGACTGATCTCAGAACCTTTCCACTCATCGTCCTTTCGTGAGCTTGGGAAAATTATCTGCTGTGTGTGTGTCCACCATAGAGTTCTGACAGTTTGGCAGTTAGCATGCTGAACTGTTTATGGTGTGTTGGATACACCTGTTTCATAATTCCATGGCTTCTTTTCACAGAAGAGTGGATTGTAAGTAAGCTGTTTCTCGCCTGTTGATGTAAAACATGGAGGTGATAGTGTCAATCATAATTTGAATACATCTGTTTCATATATGAGGTAGGAAACGCCTGCACGTGTTGTGGACTGCATGTAGCTCTAGCAGGTTGATGTGCATTTGAGTCTCTGCCAGGAACCATTTGCCCTCGATCACGTGTTGGTATATGTGAGCACCCCAGTCTATCAGAGAGGCATCTGTGGTGATCACGGTTGCCAGAGGTTTCTGTTGGAATGGGATAGCCATACATACATTTTAAAGTCATGCCACCAATGTAAAGAATTCAGGGCATCTGATGGTACTGTGAGCCATTTGAGTAGACTGTGGCTACTTGGTATGTATTCTATGCTCAGCCAACTTTGTAAGCATTACATATGGAGTCTTGCATGTCATACCATGATATATGTCTGAATAATTGCAGGACAGTAAAAGTCTGAATTTGAGGACAGACTTGTACCTCTGAGATAAGGTTCCTGAGATTTGTAAATCTGATAAGGGAAGCGCCACTGTCACTTCTATGACTTCAAGGTGTGCCCCGATTAAGTTGTTGGACTGGCGTTATAGTTGATTTCTGATAATTTATTAATAGATCAAATTCCTAGAATAGTGTGGTATAGGCCTACACTACATTCAGTGTGTCTCACAATGTTGGGCTTTTGATAAGGCAGTTATTCAGGTAAGAGAAAATCATTATTCCCTGTTTGTGAAGATGAGCTGCTTCTACCACTAGGTTTTTTGAGAAAACTCTTGGTGCAGTGGCTACTCTGAATGGCAGTATTCTGTAGTGGATGTGTTCTTGTCCTACTGTGAAATGCAGAAATTTCCTGTGAGCAGAATGAATGCTGGTACGGAAATAAGCATCTTGGAAGTTGAGGGCTGAAAACCAATCCCCCTGTTACAGCACTGGGCGTACTGTGGTCAATGGGAAATTTTGGGTGCTCACAAACTTGTTGAGCTTCCACGGGTCCAGGAGAAGTGTCCATCCTCCTTGTTCTGAATCAGGAAATAACGGGAGTAGAATTCCTTCCGTTTGAATTGTACCAGTTCTCATTCTACAGAACCTAGCTGTAAAAGATGATCCACTTCTTGTCATAATAGGTGCTTATGAGAAGGGTCCTTGTAGACAGACAAGGAAGGGTAGATGGACAGGAGGTAAAGGAGATGATATATATAACTTGATTATTTCTACAACCCCTTGGTCTGATGTTATGGCAGCCCAGATGTGGAAAAAAGCCAGAATAGATGGCCAAACAATGGTGAGTGGTCAGGTGTAAGTGCTGTCTCCTGAGGGAGGTCATTCAAATCCTCAACCAACTTTCAAAATCATGTTTTTTGAAGGAGTTGACTGGAAAGTCAGCACTTATGATTGGGGTGTTTTGTTGGCGCCGTGACAGTTGATGCTGCTGTTAATTTTCATATGGTTGTTGTTGTCTATTGTTTGAAGAGTCCCTAAGTCTCTGATATGGTTGGTACCATCTTCTCTTCGCAGAAGAAGTGTAAATCTCCAAAGTGAGAAAGGTGGCCTGAGAGTCTTTCATTGAATGAAGCACCTTTTCCATTTTCGATAAGAATAGCTGTTCCTATTCTTATAGAAAGAGCCTCTACTTTCATTCAAATTTCTTTTACTATCCCTGAGGTCAAAAGCCAAGAGACTCAGTGCATTGTTATAGCTGTGGCCATCATTCTGGTTGCCGTGTCTGCTGTGCCCAATGACACCTGAAGGGCTGTTTTGATTATCAGCTGGCACACATTAATGATGCTTTGATACAGTGTCTATTTCTTCTCTGGGAGTTCTGACACAAAGGGGTACAGTTTCTCATAGTGATCATAGTTGTATTTGATCAATAGTGCTGAGTAGTTGTCTACTCAAAACTGAAGGATACCAGAAGGACACTTTGCACCCAAACAAGTCAAGTGTCATATGTTTCTTATCATGCAGTGTTGTCTTGAGTTGTGGCTGTTTTCTACAATAATTTACAGCATAGCCAGCTAAGGAGAGGGGAGATGGGTAAATAGAAGTTTTTCCCCCTTGGATGGCACATAACAGTTTCTATCTGCTCTTTTGCAGGTTGGTGGGATAGAGACTGGTGTCTGCCAGATTGTCTCCCCAGGGTTGAAGATGGTTAGTGCAATCTTAGGGGAAGAGAAGTGTTGTAATCTTTGTAGCATATCTTGTAGAGCCCTGCATGGACATGGATATCCATGGCTAGACATGGGTATCCACTGATCCGCAGGGCTCTATTCCCAAGAGATTCTGTAGCCAACTGAGAGGAACATGGTCCTATCACTCCCAGGAGCCTGTGTCCTGCTCTAGCAGCTCCTCCTTGCCATGCAGCTGTACTGCCCTCAGCCATGCCATGAGTACAGCTGTATGACACACAGGAGACACAGCTGGCAGCAAGGCTGAGGGCAGTACAGTCGCGCATTGTCAGGAGGAACTGTCAGCATGGGACGCTGGGTTCTGTGAGCAATAGGACCATACTCCTCTCCATCAGTTGCAGTATCTCTTGGGAGCAGAGCCCTGAAGATCTGTTATACCAATGTCTATCTGCTGATATCCACATCTGTGGGTAGACATTTGTATCCATGCACAACTTCTACCAACATGGGCTGCTTTGTCTTTACCTCTTCCAGCAGGGCTGTCTTGACTGTATTCCTGGAACTCCTTAAAGTAATCCACCCAAGTTGGCGGGATGGAGATAGGGGACAATGGATTCATTTGTAAATGAGGATGAATTGAGTGTAGGAGATAATGTCATGCTCTGTACCAGTCTTTGGGTCCTCTGGCTCCCTTCGCCCATCCTGTACCTTCAAGGATTGTGGTGTGGGGGAGACAGGGTTACAATGCAGTTTATATTTCTGAACTGTGGATTGTTTAGAATGATGACCCCTATATGAGCCTCAGGATTCCCACTGCATTGGGAAGGCAATTGGGATGTGCGCTTCCATGGTGGTCTGCACCATGGTTGGTTCATTTGGTATCTGGGACCCATGAGGCTCCATGATGGTTAGTGGGCTTTAGGTGAGGAGATAAGGGATTGTATCTCTGCATCTCCTCTGCATTATCAGAGAACTGAGCTATTTCATGGGATCTGTAAACTCCTCTGAAGCCTGTCAGGGAGCCCTCAGCATTAAGTATTGCTGGATGTGGTGCCAATTATATTTCTAAGTCTATCTGATGCAGTAGAGACTATAGCAATGCCAATATCTGGGCTGTCAGTGCCGTGGAATCTATTCTTTTCATTGATGGAGTCAGGGCCAATGGATATTGTTACTGTTTAGTTGCTGTGGTCAGTGCTGACTTGCTAGCATCTACTGGTGCCACCAAGTCATCAGTGCCACGGGCGAAGGCATAGTGCCTGATGAGGCACAAGGGGCTGAGTTCCATACTGATGAGCTCCATGCCATGAAGGAGACATTTTTTTCCAGTGATTCAACTTTGTCTCCTTCACTCTGACCTTGCAGTACCAGGGATATATAGAACATCATAGATGCTCACCTGACAATAAGATAGTATCAGAGCATGTGACTTTGAAGCCACCACTTTTGTTTTCTCAGTACTCTTTGCAAAGATATTTGAGACCTTTTTTTTTTCCCCAGAGGGTAAGCCTCCTTTTTCATTATGAGGAACATCCAGACAGGGAGTTCAGCTTCAGGGACCTCAAAATCATTTTCAGCCCTAAATCCCTGTCTGGTTGGGCTCTGGTTTTTAAATTGCTGCAGTGTGGGCATTTATGGGGGATACTCCCCTCACCCAGGCAGCATATACACATTGAGTGCCTGCCTGAAATAGGCGGAAGTTGCAGTATTTGAAGCCTGGAGACTCAGACACATTAACGAGTAACTGTCTCTGAAGGGGTTGGGGGCTGCTAACGAACTAACAACTTTTTTGTGTGTGACTAATGCTAACGCTAAGATTCTATATAACTATTGAATTAAACAACTATTTTCTAATGATTTTAGGGAAGAGTCTGACATTTTCCCTGAGCTATCTTCAGCAGAGGACAGTTGAGAAGGAACTGAAGGACTCAAGTCATGTTCCACAAGACGCTGACTGCGCATGTGCGACCCATGCGGACACTGCTACCATTCATCTTCAATCGACAGCACTGGGATGCACTGACACCTGAAATGGAGCATCCACAGGGACACACTCAAAGAATTCCATTTCTATCAGACCTTGCCAACTAAAAACAAAGGATTTGGAGTTACAGTTTTAATATAAGAATCAATGTATTGGTCGTATATCGATTGAATTTGAAATATTCTGATTCCCAGATCAAATGAGCAGACTGTTCCCTCTTGGTGGACTGGAAAGCTTATAGAACATGATGGATGTTACTATAAAGAAACAATAAAGGATAATAATTCCATTGTACTATCTACTATGTGCTTATTGCTGTGTATTTAACACTTCCATTTATTTTTAATAGACTTAGCAACTAAAAGCACCTTAACACCTTTGAGCTCAGTACTCCTGTTAACACAAGTTACCCTACTTCTTATATTCTGACACGGGGGCAATCCCTAGTATCCACTCCTACCCTTAAGAGTTTCAATCTTTTCTGGTCTCCCCACTGCTACCATGCTGCTCCATTCTATCCCACTTTTTTCCTCATCTTTCCTTTGGTCTCTTGCTATAATTTTTATTTTCTCCCTCTTCCTTCTGGACTTTTCATTAGCACCTCTCAGCATTTTAACTAGCGTTATGGAGGCCTAATAAGAGCCATTGAGTTCCAGGTCTCAGTCCGGCTTAACACTGCTCGGCTGTGTCTACACTGGCATGAATTTCCGGAACTGCTTAAAACAGAATACTATTCCGTTTTCAGTTTTTCCGGAAAAGGAGCGTCTACATTGGCAGGCTGCTTTTCCGGAAAAGCCCCTTTTCTGGAAAAGCGTCTGTGGCCAATGTAGACGCGCTTTTTTCGCGATCGGGGCTTTTTTCCGGAAAAGACTACTGGGCTGTCTACACTGGCCCTTTTCCGGAACCGTGTTCCGGAATAAGGACTTATGCCCGAGCGGGAGCAGAATAGTTTTTCCGGAATAGCGGCTGATTTTGTACAGTAGAGCATCGTTGCTTTTCCGGAAATTCAAGGGCCAGTGTAGACAGCTCGCAGCTTATTCCGGAAAAGCGGCTGATTTTCCGGAATAAGTGGCCCAGTGTAGACACAGCCCTCATGTTGTTAACTGAGAGTAAGATATGCTGTGTGATGCCTTCATGCAAAATCTCCAACTCCTACTTACTCCCTACTGGCTACAAAGAGCAGCAACATTCTGCAGGGTGGTCAAACTGTGCTGCAGCAACAGACAAAATGCTTAAACTTCCAAATCATCCTGAAATTGGTGTCCAGAATAAGCAGTATGTGGACCAAAAAAAAACCCAAAAAAACACTCAAGGTTTCTCCCCATGCCTATGGACCTTTAGCTCCCTTATTCTACAAGGGGGAAGGTGGTAAAAAAAATCTGCAATGTGATTTCAAAGCCTAGGAAGTAGTTGTTGACTTGCAGAGTGTACAATATAAGAACACCACTGGTTTTCAAGTTTTAATATAAAAAATTGTATACCTGGTAATATCTTCAGTCAACTGTGATGGATCGGGAGGATAAAACTTCACATTAAACGTGAATAGCCAGGGCAAGCCTACAAATGGGAAATGTCGGATTATTAATCCATAGAACTTTAACAAGCAACCAAAATAAACAAACAAAAATGTCTTATTAGAAGATTTAAAACACTTGTGAAGTCTTAATTGCTGAAATGCTAGTCACATCAATGACAGTCAAATTTTAAATGTAAGAAATTTAGAAATTATATGCTAAATAGGAAGTTAAAACAGGGGAGACTTCTTTGTTCAATTCCAGGTAGTTACACTTGTAAACTGAAATATCAGATCAACAGGATAATTTGTATTTCTTTTCTAAATAAATGTGTTACAATGGTTTTCTTATCAGTTAATGTAAACATCCACAAAATATTTAGGGTTTTGAATTCTCTGACAACTACAATAATTTCAGTTAAAGGTATTTTTTGTTCAAACAAGTAATTTAGAGGGATTTAGCCCAGAGCAAATGATTGCGAGATAATATAACCAATATTTTCCACATTCTTCCAAGCTAAGTCTCTCTCCCCTGTTGAAATACCCTTTTTCATTTGGGAGACTGTAAAATCACTCCTGGAGAAAAAAAACTGAAAGAACTGAGCTGAGGTTTGTGATGCATACTGTAAAGAAGGATGTAGAAATAGAACATCTGTAAAACACTTCATTTGCTGGCATACATTTTTGTAGCCAAAAAATGACTGCTCTTACCATATATATAGTAGCCCAATGTCAGAGTCTGTAACGCCAAAATACTGGCTGTTCCCTCTGGGGGGCACTGTTGCCTGAAATGCTGGCTGTTCCCTCTGGGCAGCCCGTGCTGCATGGGGAGTGCGGGGCCCAAATAGCCGCTTGCTCCCCCACGGCGGCCCAGCTGAGCGGCACAGAAGTCAGCCGAGTGCCACGGCGGGAAGCGAAGGGGGGCGGGGCAGTGACGTGCGGCGTGACAGCGGCTCTAGGCCCCGTCCCTTGGCTGTGAAAATCATCTCCCCGCCCCCCTTTGACTCCCGCTGTGGCGCTCAGCTGACTTCTGCGCTGCTCAGCCAGGCCGCTGCGTGGGAGCAAGCCTCGCAAGTGACCATTTGGGCTCTGCGCCTCCCATGCAGCACGGAGAGTGCGGAACCCAAACGGCCATTTGGGCTCCATGGTCCCACGAGTGAGAGGCAGGAGGGGGAGGAGAAGTGAAAGAGAGAGACAGAGAGGGGGGGGGAGGAAGTAGGAGGAGGAGGAGAGAGAGATGGAACGAGAGACCGGAGGCTCAGGAGAGAAGACTGACGTGGAGAAGAGACCTTAAAATCCCGTCTTATGATGGGCTAATTGGCTAGTTAAATATAAAAGCATATACACATTATAATTTCCCCTATTATTAGAAATGGAATCATACACATGTAGGCCTGGAAGGGTCTCGAGAAGTCATCAAGCCAACCCCCTGTGCTGAAGCAAGACCAAATAAACCTAGATCCTAGCAACTGTTTCTCCAACCTCTTCTGAAAAACTCCAATTATGAGGACATTCACACACCTGTGGAACCCTACTGCAATGCTTACACCTATCCTTGTAGTTATAGAATCAAAGAATACTAGGACTGGAAGGGGCCTTGAGAAGTCATCGAGTCCAGTACCCTGCCCTCATGGCAGGACCCAGTACTGTCTAGACCATTCCTGACAGACATTTATCTAACCTACTCTTAAATTACTCCCAACGATGGAGATTCCACAACCTCCCAAGGCCATTTAATCCAGTGTTTAACCACCCTGACAGTTAGGAACTTTTTCCTAATGTCCTACCTAAACCTCCCTTGCTGCAGTTTAAGTCCACTGCTTCTTGTTCTAGCCTCAGAGGCCAGGAAGAACAAGTTTTCTCCCTCCTGCTTGTGACACCATTTTAGATACCTGAAAACCGCTATCATGTCCCTCTCAATCTTCTCTTGTCCAAACTAAACAAGCCCAGTCTTCTTTCAATCATCCTTCATAGGTCGTGTTCTCTAGACCTTTAATCATTCTTGTTGCTCTTCTCTGGATCTTCTTCAATTTCTCCACATCTTTCTTGAAATGTGGTGCCCAGAACTAGACACAGTACTCCAACTGAGGCCTAATCAGTGCAGAGTAGAGCAGAAGAATGACTTCTCATGTCTTGCTCACAGCACACCTGTTAATGCATCCTAGAATCATGTTGGCTTTTTTTGCAACAGCGTCACACTGTTGACCCATATTTAGCTTGTGGTCCACTATAACCCCTAGATCCCTTTCTGACATACTCCTTCCTAGACAGTCGCTTCCCATTCTGTATGTGTGAAACTGACTGTTCCTTCTCTCCGCTTTCTTAAGTTCTGTTCCATTAATGTCTTCAGTTTTTAAAGTTCTTGTTTTTAACTGGAATCGAATTTTTAAAGTGTTTTCATTACTCACTAAAACAATATTTGGAAAATAATTCATCTTTATTATTCCCAACATATGCTGTTGAACGCATGGCAGTACCAAAAATACCCACTTAGTTGTTATTAAACACTGAGGCAACTCCTAGGATCTGTGACAAATACAGTCATAATCATAAAAATAAAGCAAGCACATCAAAATTAATGAACACATTGTCAATATTCTATCCATAAATTTGCACTAAACATGCTACAATACCTAACAGCCCCCAAACTGCAGGACCAAGTAGAGTATAGCACACCATAACACATTATTATAGCTCACTGTTAAAATGCTCCTTCAAAGCCTTCCTGAGCCATACAGCTTCTAGTTGAGCTCTTCTGACAACCCTTGGATCTGACTGTTCAAATTCGGCATATAGACATTCCTCCTTTACCTACCACCTAAAAGCAACTTTCCCCCTTTGCTCCATATACACAATGCAGAACACTGAAGGTAGCTATAATCACTGGGATGTTTTTCTCACTGAGACCCACTGTTGCGAATAAACATTTGGTCAGCACTCCTTCAAATGACCAAAAGCATGTTCAATTGTCATTCTGCACTTGCTGAACTGGTAGAATTAAATTGTTCCTCGGTACTACTGAAGTCATCAATGTATAGCTTCAGGTGCTGTACAGTAAGGTGTAGAGTGGGCCTCCAGGATCACACTGGCATTTTGCCATTGCTAATAGAAATCCGCTGATCAGGATAAAAAAATCCCTGCTTGCAGATGAAAATATAATCGATACATAAAACCAACTAACCTTTAATGATCTATTCCAAATGTCTTTTATAGAACATTATAATCTTTATTGCCCCCTCCCAGAACATGTGTTAACCCTTATGTTTATCTGTCCCAATTTTTTTTTAGCTCAGACATAGATTTCTCTTCCTAGATCTGAAAAAACTCTGAATAGTCCAAAAGTGAGCATTTTTCGCCAACAGAAGTTACTCCAATACAACATATTACCTGGGTTATTTGAGGGAAGCAGCTGGCATTGGCCACTTTTGAAAGACAGGATACTAGGTTAGAAGGACCTTTGGTTTGACCCACTATAGCTGTTTTTATGTGTTTATGCAACTTACCCACATTTTCTCACTATAATTTCTGTTCTCAGAATGAGGCAATTTATTGTGGTATTTTTTGGGCCAAAGAATTAAACCATTAAAATGTAACAATATTTGAACACTGTTATGAACTCTTAAAAAAACCTAACAGTTGTGCAATAAACATTGGACAGTAGTTCTGGAACACATATGTACTGCAACAACTTATAATCTAGCTGAAGTTGCTAAGTTAGAGGAGAAAATGTTGAATAAAATACCTATACTTAAATACTGAAATGGTATTTCTGCATAAAAAGAAAAATGAACATTCATAAGGAAACTATGTATTTTAAAAAGACAAAAATTAGACAAGCCAAAATGTTCATATTTTGTTAAGAGCACCTGGGAATACAGATGAAGTCTCCATGCTAGTATCAAAGCTACAGGCATTCTCAGGCAGTTCCCTTAAATCCCCTGCCACTCACATCTAATAGTTAAACTGGGGAAAACTAGGAACACAAAAGAGAAGCAACTGAATCTTGGTATAGTTTGCTTTAGAGAAAAAGCAATCTCTTTTTCATGTCTTGCCAGCTGTAAGGAAGGCAACTGAGCAAAGTGCGCTGGTTAAAAAAAATGAAAAGGAAAAAAACCCCACAAGAATATTTATTCCTTTTAATTGTAGATGGTTTGAAACGGGCCATTTCGCTCCCTCGCAAAATTTTTATCCGAGTAGTTATTGAAAACTTTATTTCAAAATTGTTTGTTGTTAAATGGTTAAATGAAAAAACCCTTAGATTCTGGTAAACAAAAATGTTAATGATTTCAATAATGTTTTAGATAAAAAGTAATTAAAAAAATTAAACAGTTAAAATGCCATTAAAAAAAATCATATTTGTGAATATTTTGTCACAAAACAGAGACATTTCTAATTCTGGAATGATGCCAAAAAGGTTATTCCTCTTTTAATTTACAAAATCCCCAAACTGAAAAGGGAAAAGAGTTTGAGTTCATGAATTATATGCCAAATGAAGCACTGTTTAATGTCTAAATATGAATATTCTCAACATTTTGAATTTTCCTTTACATTAAAACTTTCTACCAAGATTTTTTTTAAAGTGACCAGTGATTTAGGGTGTTTCAATTATTGAATGTCCAGCTTGAACCACCTTACATGAATTAGATTTTCAGAGGGAGTACTGTACCCTGTGAAAGTCTGGCCTCTGAGGTGTGGAACTGGGATACCCGAAGTCAGTTAGTCATTTTTGAAATTCATGGCCCCATGTGTGTCACAAGATATTTCAATTCACAAAACTTCTTTCTGAACAACTATTAATGGGCCAGTAAAACTGGCATACTACGTATCAGAAAGCCAGAAAGTGAATTTTCTAACATATGCATGGCAGAAGATTTCTGAAGTGTTTGCAGTGATGCATATTTTAACACAGGGTGGCAGGATTAAGTCCAAAAGGTCAAGTCACTGGAGAAAAAAGTCTAATGGTAATTAATGGGTCAAATGTACATACAATCTGAATTCCATTTTAATGCAGCACTATTGAATGAAAGCCATAATTGATGGAAAA